GGTTAACGTGCGTCGATTACCGTTAAGCCGACTTACTACAGCTGTCTGTTAAATAAATTGCTAATGTTGTCCAGCTGAAGGATATAAATTGTATTTTAGTGATCAGCATCAATCATTTGCATGTACACTAGTGGCCAAAAATGGTAGAAACACTCAGCATTATGCTTTATAAATTACTACAGGAATATTGGAGGTAATTTTATAAACAGTCAAAGAATGTTTCAAATATCATACATTGGATGATTAAATATGTAACTGTTTCTACAATTTTGCACACTAGGTGTATAGGACATAGTCAATGCTGTGTTCTTGCTGCCCAGAATAAGACTGTATTTGTAAAATCCCAGAAGCCTCTAGTCATTTATGCTTCAATTGTCCATCCTTCTTCCTTCTCCAATGCAGATGACTAATTTTCAGATTTAATATGGAAAATATGACACCTGTGCATGGAAGGCACTCGTATAAATGTCTTCACTATGGTTAATTCATTATGCTGAATTATGTAGCAGGAATATTGTCCGACATGTTCTCACATCTCACCTGATAGCTAATGAGGTTGACGGGGAGCCACGCCTCATAGCAGTGGGAAAATGCCAGCAAGTCATGGCACACCCACAACGCAAGAAGCACCTATAGATGACTTAATACTTCTCATTACCTTTCACTGGGTTCCGAGTGCGGGTGCCCTCTGTCGTTCGGGCTGGATAATCTGAGTGAGCAGAAAGCCTTTACGTGTTGCCATTCTGTCTACGGTTTTGGAAATGCAGCATGAGGCTGGAAATATGCCGCACTTTTCACAGGCATGCTGGGTAATATGTCATCTTGTCAAATCTCTTATCTCTTCTCAGATGAGGGAATGCAGTGCCATTATGGCCGTCAAAATTGACAGTTATGAATGATTCATTCTTGGAAAATCCTGAAAGATTTAATCAAACATAATTGCAAATTGCAAATACACAAAAGAAGAGTTTTGTTCTAATGGTGCTTTAGATAAATCTTCTCATATTTTGTATTTACTTATTTATATTCATTAAAATTTCAGTTGCAGAACTAATTCAGGAATTAAGGCAGATAGGTGGTTCTGTCCCCTATCTCCTGCTCCCCCACCTTCACACACGCATTTGCAGATACGCATCTCCCAATTCCCTCCTCGTCTGTCCCTCAGCCTCCATTCTTTCAAATAACTCAGGCTGTTTTTGTAACAAAACAAGGGCTAATCCCAAATTCAGGCAGCTGTGAATAACCCTGGACAAATGCTGGACAAATGAGAGGGATTAGGGTGGGGCCTGCGAAGGAGCGAAGCGTCCTATTGATCTTCGGTGGTCCTGTGCTCTTTCAAGGGCGTTTGCTCTGAAAGCCCCACTGAGTAAGAGCATGCGGAGGCCGCTCTGGCGCTCCTCGGGCTGCAGGAAGCCAGCGAGCAGCCGCAATTAGAGCTTCAATAGCAATTTCGAACTTTCTACTCGCATGTTCACCCTCTGTTCCTCGCATACAGGTCTGTAGTGTGCGTGAGAGCAACGGCCCCATTTGAAGGGACTCCAAAGTTTTTGATTGCGTGACTTGTGCCCCCCTGTACTTTTTAGTCCCAGTTGGGTCCCTCCCCAGTGGTCACTGTTTACCCCCATCACAGCGTTTTGCTATATTATGCGGTACAAAGCATTACAATAACTGTCCACACCTGTACAGGTGTCCCTTGGCTTCTGGTTGCCCAGTAAAAGTCTACAAATGCCCATGTCAAGGTGATAATTTGTTGTGAATCGTGACTAGTAGCTAGGCAAAGCTACAGTATGTTAAGCATGGGACAGAGAGTGTAAGGACAAGCCAGAGTGTAAATGGGTTTGAAAGTAACATCTTGTGTGTATGGAGAGTGGTGCTGAATCCTCTCCTCCTGAAGACCCCATTCCCACTTTCTCCCTTTGCTGCGAGACATTCCTCCTTGATTTTCTGCGCTGTTTTAGGGTTTTGCTGTGATCAAAGACAGTTGCTTTGATCTTCCCTGCCAAGGGATTGCTCTTCCCCGGCTCTCTGGCAAGGGAACTGAAAGGACAGTAGGGGCAACAATGATAATTACAGCCTCCCATTTTGTTTCGCTGCTTTTTATTTTGAGCTGGACGCGGCCTAAACGAGCCTGCCTGTCTTAAGGCCAAGAATGAGGCGAAGTTTTGGGACGTTTTATGGCAAAGAGAGCAGCGGCCGCCCAGTGACGCCATTTAGAGGAAGGGGCATGAAATGGGATTAATTCACAGTTTCACAGCTTTAAAGATGCCTCTGCAGTGAGGATTTAAAAAAAAAATTATATATGCAAACAAATGAAAAATGTATGCGGTCTTCTCATGAATTTTATCTGGAAAACCAGTGTGCATGTTGTCATTGGTATTTTTTATTATTTATTTGTTTTGATACGCTAAAATATTGATGGTTGTTAAGTGAGTCATTCTGACTATTCTTACCGGTATGAGTTTCTGACAAATAGCCAGTGTCAATAAATATAGGGTTAATTGGCGTTATGGTCGGACGCTCCTAAACAAAGCAGAACGAAAACTGTTTCTGTTTTTATTTGTGATGCAGTTTCACCGAAACCCCCTGCCTGTTCCCATCATGCTTAGCTGTTCGTCTGCCATCTGGGTGGAGTGCAGCTGCGCAGTTCTGAGCTGCGCCTGCATGCAGCTCTGCCGGCTGCGAGCTCAGCCCGGGGGTCCTCTAGACGAGGGGGGGGAACTGCTGAATGTCACTGGGGACATGCAGGCAAACGCATGAACCATAAGTATCTTTTCCATTGTTTAATTATTGAGAACCTGATGTGTAAGTCTCATGTTCACCTCAATTATGGTAACGGAAATGATTGTGTTGTCCAGTCGTGTTGCTAGATCGGCATTAAAATGCTAGATAGACCATATAGTTAACAATATTTTCCCCCATTTTGGATATTCTTAATATTTTGTAGTATTGCCCAGCTATAATGTGATTACATTTCAGTTTTCACTTTGCGCAATAGCATTTTTTCTATGCGCAGAATACTTTCAAGCAACTAGAGACCTATTATTAATTTTGGGTGAATGTAATGTCTTACAGACCCATTTTGAACCACGATGATAAATTTCCTTCCTTAAAGACAACAGACAAGCAAAAACATCTATTACTGTGTTTTTTTTTTTCCAGGCAGGTGCTGTGCCGTAGCCATACGGCATTCCTACAAAGCCTCGTAAAATGAATCCACACATAAAAATTAATTTAACCAATAATGAGGAAGTGGGTAGGTCTTGATCTCATTAACTCGGTGATGTTAGGAGCAGCTGAAATGCCATAAATTAAAAACAGAGCGTGCATTTATCTTTTCATTTAAATAAAAATCAGATACAGCGCATTACGTGCAGTCTACATAATTACATTTTGACAGAATAATCTCAAATGGATGTATGTAGAATTCATCATAGGTATGGCATATACTGAGTGGCCACTTTATTAGGTACACCTGCTCGTTAATGCACACAGCCTGCCCCACAAACAGCCAGTCATGGGGCTGTAACTGAATACAGACAGCATGCGGACAATGTCAAGAGGTTCACTAACTGTGCGGCTAAGCATTTTAACAGCTCAGATGCACGATGTAAGCAATTTTTTCTTTTACGTGGGGTGATTGCCGGTGGTCCCAGCATCTCAGTCACCCTCCTGGGATTTCCATGCACTACATCATCTGGAGTTTGTAGAGAACGGTGTGACGATCCAGTCATGGGCATCAGCACAGTGTTATAGTGGTGAGAAACATGGCTTCACACAACTCATCAAACCTGGAAGTGGTTCAGGAGGCAAAAGCGTGTCCTAACAAAGTGGCCGCTCAGTGCATATTCTTTGTTTTTATTAAAAAACGGATAAATCCACATTCAGTTTGACTGCTACTAATTGTATGTGTGCCAGTCCAGAAATATTTATTTTTAATGTTTAATCAAATACCGACACTCTCCGGATAACAATGGGGTTACGTTCCTGTAAACCTATCGTAAGACAAAAATATCGTAAGGCAAAAATGCATTTTAATACAGTACACCTAAGCTAACAGACACCATAGCCTAGCCTAGCCTACCTTAAACATGCTTAGAACACTTACATTAGCCTACAGTTGGGCAAAATCATTAACACAAAGCCAATTTTATAACAAAGTATTGAATATCTCATGTAATTTAATGAATAATTATACACATCACAAAGTGCGTATCGTAACACGGACCATCGTAACCCGGGGAGCGTCTGTATTGCGATTGTGTCTACACGTACCTGTTGGATCTTTTGTACGACCACATTACAGAATTTCTTTTTTCTTGTTTTGCATACATAAAAAATGTGGTTACCAATTTAATATTAATGTTGGTGGTCTTTGTTATATTTACTAATACAGTTATTTTTTTGGTACTGACCTTCTGCTCCTCTTTTTGCCAAATCTATACATAAATATATATCTGAATGGAGAGTAAAATCCACTAAGCAGGTTGTGTGTACAGAAATACTATATTTAATGCAGGTGTGTTATGCTACACAGGGTTTTCAAAACATGGTTTTGTTCAGTAGGTTGCCTATAAACAAAACCAAACAAAACGCTTGAATGTTTGTCCCATCCTACAATGAACTTGTGACTTTCCTGTCTGCCCTTGTCTGACCTCTGTTGTATCTGGATCCATTCAGTTTGAACCTCTAGATTTCCCTCTTGAATTTTGAGATATTGCAAAGGGCAGATGGTGATTTGTGTTTGCAGCACAACACCATATAAAGCAAATAAGACAAATGAAAGGCAGAGTTAGAAATGGTCAGCGACATATAGAAATGCAACACGGTACAAAACAGTTGAAATATATTAAAAGTTCTATTTGCAGCAGCTGTTCGAAAAAGGTTAGCGGAAGCTACTGATAGTGGCCATATGGTATAAGACGTTACATAGAAGCACCAGTGAAGTCTATGTCGGGACAAGTGACGAGTGTCCCAATCTGCAAAGTGCACAGAGGGTCTCAAAGAGGCAGGTCTAGGTACAGGCTGGGTCCCTTGATGTGGACTTATTGTGGAACGCAGATCCAGAGCACTTGGGTTACAGGGAGGCCACTGCACGTTCACGTCCAGAGTTTACAGTGCGTGATGTCTATTCTGGGCCCATGGGAGTCACTCTTGTACCTCTGGCGTGTTCCAAAGTGGAGCAGACTCCCCGCACGTGTGTTACCTGTCAGTCTCCATGGAAGAAGAAAAATGCTGATCCAAGCTTTCACAGAAACGAACAAAAACAGAACATTGATTTTGCACAAAAGAAAATAAATCCCACCACTGCATCGCATTTATGGAATGTTGACAGAGCTCCCATTTCTGTTCGATGAATGTGTCCAAGTCAAGCTTCGCCATGACTGTCTGTGATCCGGGACCTCGACTGGTACAGTCCAAGGCCCCAGACAGACCAGTCTAGTGCAAACTTCAAGATCCCATGAAAATCTGTTATAAAACCGCCCAAACGAATGTCACTTGTTCGCTTTCATGCGTCATGGGACACACCCAAATCATCTGTCCTGTGCTATACTGCTGATTGACAGGACGCTTTAAAAGGAGTCATTGTCTCTTGAAAAGTAAAACCAAGACATTAATAACAACCTTTATACCCTTCATGTTCTTCAATGCTCCCACTCCAGTAATTATCCATTTACCGTCTATTTTTACCTTTTATTATAAGGGCTTTTTCGTCGTCGCTGAGCTTCACTGTCAATAACAATAGTAGACAAACTATATTTACATAATATTAGCAGCTTCTTTTGGACCTTAAGCTAATGTGGAAGAAAAAAATAATTTATTTTGCCCCCAAATCTCACAAACAAATTTGTATATAAAACCCCTACAAATGTACACATATGGGTAAAGTTGGTAGTAATAATAATAATAATAATAACAATCATAATAATAACAATGACAATAACAACAATAATAATAACACTCGTATTAGTTAACGCTAGTAGCTGCTGAGTCTGTAGTTTGAGCTATGAAGGCAACATGGGGAGAAAATGCGTGGATGGGTGTCTCCTTCGAGCCTTGTGACCTCTCCGGGGTTTCCCCCTGCCATTTAGCGAGACGAACATTTGCCTCCCGCCGTGTTTCCAGCGCAAGGAAGCGTACGTGTTGTAGCCGTTCTCCTCGATCCGCTCCTTGAACTTGCAGTTGGAGCTGTATTTCACCTGGAAGGGGGGCTGCAGGAGTGAAGGAGTTGCGGGGGGATCTCTGTCAGGGGGGGGGGGGGTGTTAAAGTCAGAGGCCTGGCTGCTGTTGCGAGGGACAGATGACAGAGGAAGAGGCTCCAGAGGAAAAGACAGCAAGACCTTGGCAGGAATGACTGACAGAGGGATCACAGGCAAACTGACATATTGATTTTGCGACTCTCATGTAAAATGCACTAATAGTAGCTCACAGGAAGCCAATGAGTATCTTGCATATTGATTATGCCAATTTTTGTTTTTCTCTGTTGTATTTTTACTGTCTCCACCCCCCCGCCCCAGTTGATCACTTTTAATTTTAATCTCGTATCAAATGTATAGCTACCTAGACTATTTTCTTTGTAGAAGTAGCTCTTACTTTAAATGACGTTGAATACCCCTGATGTGGTGTTATAAATCTGAGATCCTATATGGGCTAGAAGGGTAGAATATTGGAGGGGATGAAATGCAATAACCTATTTAGCTATTTAGATGATTGAATCTATGAAATATATATCCACACTGTCAATACAGTGACAACAAAGTTGATCGTGTTTACCTTACCCTGTCACGGGTGAGTGCCTTATCATAAGTGATGAATGAATCGCAGGCTGATGCCACAGCAGCAAGAGACGATACCCTACTACCTAAATTAGATGCTTCAGTCCAATGGACGTGACTGAGGATCGTTGTGGGAAGATGAAAAGCCAACACTGCGATAGCGTGACTTTGGCAATCGTCATTAACGTATAATTCAAAGGGAAAAGTAACAGGTTATTTCCTGATGCCGGACTCATCATCAAGCTGTCCTGTTTTCCCCGTACAGCATAAAAATAAGAGTCTGTAACCAGTCTTATCGTTGCTTAGAGACTGATTTCCAGGAAGAGATTGCTCTCAGAGTTGTAAAACGTCCAGACACCTGGCCAGGGGCGAGCTTGTTATTCGGAAGGGATTTCTGAACAACAACTGCTAGAAAGCACGCAAACATCTTCCCCATGTCCCTTGGCCACCGTGTCAGAACGTATCGTTCTTCCGATTGTGGCTTTTTATTATAAGAGCTAAGAGACGAGGGGTCCAGCTCAGTCGAATTCTCACGCAACTTTATGGTACAATGCAGGCTTTAGAATTCAAAAGTAATTTAATTGCACATAGTGTTTAATCCTCATAAGGGTGAAAACTAAGCACCTCTCACACGTTATATATACTGAATGTTGACTTTGTGGATATATATTTCCTAGAGTCAGTAAGCTTGGGTCTTGATAAGGGTGGAGGTACCTAAATAAGTTATTGCATTTCATCTCCTCACCCATAGTCTGCCCTCCTATGCTGTACAAGGTCTCACTTTTATCCCACTACACATAGCATATACTGTAATGGCAGTTTTTCTTTGAGCACGAATAACCCAAATCTCAGATGCCCTATTTAGAGCTGGAGGTGCAGCCATGACACTGCATCATGAGGATTTACCTACCGATCCGAAGAGCGTGCCTCTTTTCGACATAGCCAGGTAAAGGGCAGTGCTGACGGATTTGATCGCAACGACTCCAACGCTGACAGATCGTATTTCCATGAGACCTGAAAAAAAAAAAAAATGGGACGAGGGCTTAAGGAGACAGTTTCACCATCAAACGACAGCCGATCATAACCACTGGACAGACTGCAAGTCCGTGAACTCTGAGGCAGCTTTGTGATTTCCCGAGATAAAGTTTAAAAGAAAAAAAAATACTTTCTTTTAAAGACCACTGACAGTAGGGTCTGGACACTAGGTGCGGCAGGAACCAGGCTACAAGGATGCAGCTAATATATATATATATATATATATATATATATATATATATATATATATAGGTATAGCTAAAAACCCAAATTAAAAAGCTACTTCTTTGTGAAGGACTATAAAAACTCTGCTTTTAGATACACACCACCAGTAAAACAATACTTTTATTCTGTGAAGTCTTTTTTTGCTTTATATTACAGGCACTTTTTCTACAATAATAAAAAAAAAGATTTAGATTTTTTAAATTTGCCTATCCACATCAAAAAGTGCAGCCTTTCTTGCCTGCACCTAAAAGCAGGGTTTCTGTACTCAGAACATGAACTATCGCGCTAAGGGATCTTTCAGGTCTGACAGTCCACCCTGATGATGTGCAGGTTTGTTTACCTGGAGGCAGAACACAGTGCAAAGGAAACACTCCGCACAGTCTGTCTCGCTCGCTTGGCCGCCAGCGGAGCTGTTGTTGCTGTTCCTCATTCTTCCCTTCAGACCCTGATTGCGAACCGGTCCCCAGTGTGCGGATTCCAGAAAGCCCAGCCTCATTATTGTGACAATAGGCAAAATCGTTCCTCTGATGAGTTATATATATAGTTATATTCTTATTTATTGCCTTGGAGCCCCAAAGTGAAGGTAACTGCTCTACAAGCAAGATCTCCCAAGGAAACCAGTGCACCTGGTATCACTTGTGGAGTCTTGCTTTCTATGGGACACTGGTTGTAGAGTCACAAGGACCATGAGAAAGCAACAAATCCAGTTTGAAGGGAAATTATTATTATTATTATTATTATTATTATTATTATTATTATTATTCGGCAAGCCTGTCCTGGATACAGTTGGAATGAATGGATAGATAATAATAACCCTAATAGTACCAGCCTGAAAGCCGCAGCTCTTCTCATAAATATTTTTCTTGTGCTTTACTGAAAATGGAAATAAGTCTTTCAGATGGAGTGCTTCCCTTGGAGCGCGGCGACTGCGGCGAGGCGCTGAGTGAGGCGCAGACGGGACGCCAGTAGGAAATGAAGCAGCGGTCTCGGGCACGAACCCTGGACTCGGAAAGCCCGGCCGACATGGTGAAGAAACACAGCTGTTTGCGGTGGCACTGAAGCTGCTTCCCAGCTTGGATGCTGCTGAAATCTGTTTGGGGGCGAAAAACGAAGGCGCCCCGTCTTCCTCTCTTTTTCATCTTTTCCCTGCTTATGTAGTTGCTGTCTTTTGCTTATTGTAACTGTCTGGCACATGAAAAGCCGTATTTTATTACAGTACAGCTGCCAACTTACTGAACAAACTCTAATTAACATAAGTATTAACTACCTTTTTTACGGGTAAGATTAAGGTAAACTCTTTGGTCGTTAACCTTAATGCTACCTGGTGCATTCTCTCTGTCTTCAGAACGCTCATCCTGGTCAGGGTTGGTTGCAGCTTATTCTAGGCAGCAAACGCCACAATTCCTGGGTACACAGGAGAATCAATGCCAGCTCTTCACAGGACACAAACTCTATGGGTAATCTGGAGGTGCTAATTATCCTGACAGTATGTCTTTGCGAGAAAAAACCCCACACGACACAAAGCACAGATTCTGTCTCCCAACCCTGGAGGTGTAAGGTACTCATGTTAACCACTGACCCTCCACACCCCCCCAGTGCATATCCTAATGTTTTAAAGCACTCTCGGACTTTGGAAATGGATTTTGTGAATGAAGTAAAACCTGCATACTGCATATCGCTCCAGTGCAGAAACCAAACAAGCAAAGTCACTCATTCCACTCATTCATAAAAAGTTAAGATCAATATCTCACTCACTCTCTGGATTATGGTTGCAGACTTGTTGCATAAGAGTCATCATGTTGCTTTATTGAGAAGCAGGGCTATTGGAGCTCTGCATGGAGACAAGGGGTATTTCTCAATATGTGTACATGACTGTACTTGTGCTCTTGCGTACCATTTTACATCATCTTCCATTGCTGAAGACCAGTTCAAAAACCAAGAGCAGAGGTACAGAGGATAGTAAAAATCCCTGGATATCGTTCTTGCTCTGCCCCAAATTTCAAGGATACATCAGTTGCATCCTCGCCAAACGAGACCAATTCCAAGATTCATTCTGCCCCAAGTTTAGTCTTGAAAGGCAAGTTAGCAAGACCCATCTTGCCAAGACCGCAATTACGATTTTTGTGTTCTTGGTATTGAGAAACATCCAATGTCTGTGATTGGTTGGGTTTGGCATTCTTAAATCAAAAGAAATTAGATCTCCTATTGCTTTTACTTATTGATTCCTTTGTTCAATGCATGCAATGCATTCAATGGATCTTCTGAGTATGTCTGCTACAGTATGGTTCGGATGCCAAGCGCTTAGATCATCATCTTCAGTGGAACGTGGATAGCAGATAACACAGCTCGCCGAAGGCCTTTCTCTCTTGACGTGCACTGGTAAGTGAGCCCCGTTCTTTGTAAGAAATTGGGCATGAAGGTACATTCCAGCTGAATAGTGGACTTTCTGATCCTTATCCTATGGCCATAAGCCTCCAGTGGCAACACTAGCTATGTTTACAAAAACCGGGAGTTCGCACCGTGAGCGTGCAAGCCACCAATGAGCAATTAAGCTCGTCTCGCAACAGACATGTGTCCGTTGTGGTTTTATGGGGGGGTGGGGGGCGGTCTGTCAAGTCGAACAAAAACCACCAGGGCCTGTAAGTGTCATTAACCATAATTGTCAGGCAATGCAGCTTTGAAGTTTACAGTAAACTGTGCTTCACATACAGTAAGTGCAGGGACACATGTGGGTTTTATTCTGCTCAGCGGACATGTGGAGAGGATTAAATATTTTGCCAAACGAGAAATGACCCACCAGTGTCAGAGATGATAGTGTTATACGGTAAACATTCTTCTTAAATTGTTCTAGTGGTGTTTGCCTTATTAGGCATTCCGATGATCCTGTAATTAGTCAAAAGGTTTTTACATCAAGTTCTTGCATTTCGGAACTGAAGAACTCACTACTATCCACGTCTTTGAAATAATGAGTTAAGTAATGATTTCAAAGTTTGTCTTCTATATTACAACATTTTTACAGCATTTTCAACGAATTTTTGCATGGATAAGCGTGTTTCCTGTGAAACAGAACCAGAGAAGACTAAAAGACAACTGGACTAATAAATTAAAACAGAATCGTTAAACGGACATTTTGACCGACTAAATTATTTGTAGCGTTTTGCTAGCCTCTGCTCTCTGACTAAGGAGACAATGAATATACGCTTTACCCTATCCTGTCCTTGGCAAACGACGGCAGCCTTTGACCTTGTTTTGGCCTAAGCCACGATGAGGCAGCTATTACACGCAAATCCCACTCTATAGATGTGTAGTCAAGTGTGGACTGACCATTTTCCCATCTTCTATGGGATTTAAAAGAAGCACAGGGCAAGTCCTTCGCCTGGTCCTTTTTGTTTTTTCTTTTTTTACTCTTTCTCTTTTCTTTCTTTCTCCTTTTTTGGAAGTGAGCCCATCGTCAGATCATTCAGCCTTTCTGACCTTGAGGAAAGCAAAAGGAAGGCGGGGGCGGGGTGGGGGGGGGCAGAGGAGCTTCACAGGGATTCTATTGTCGCGGTCGTGGTACAGGGAGGCCGTGGGGCCAGG